GGTATAACTCAAAAAAGTAGACCTATGGTGAATTTGTCCTTCTGTGTTTTTATAATAAACACTCCAAAGAGTTTATTCACCACAAGAAATTTTCCAACTCCTGACCAACAGCTCAATTTTATTGCATTATGGCATATGATCTGTGTAAGTGAATTCACCTCTGTTTGCTGATAGCAACCAACACAGCTAAGGCACGAACCCTATCATACATTTGAGAATTGTAATAACAACAAACAATAGAGGGCGGTAGGGGAAATGTAGATAACATGAAAACACTTACCTCTTAATCCACAAGTATGCTGCTATAAATCAATTATTGGATTAACACACGAACTTATTTTTTACTTTTTATATTTTTTCTTTTATTTTTATTTTTTTTTTAATTTAACATTTTTAACTAGAACCTCTAATTTAGCACACTGAATATCGAATACAATAATTTGACTACATTATTTTCTTTATCTACGACTTCGAAAATAAAACCACTTTTTCTGGTTGAAACCCGCACTAACTGATGACCACTTTTAAAAGGAAAACACAGATTTATCTAAACAAGCTTTTGTAATAACCCGAAAGCGCATAAAAACAAAAACAACATTAACTAACACTCATTTACCGGGAAACGGAAAATAAACGGAGAGGAAGTGGAGCTTTTACTCTCTTTTAACACCGACACGGATACGTCGTTGCAATTTTATTAAAAAGCTTTTTGTTGCCAAACGCTTTCCGATCACATAGAACAAACAAACAGAACAAAGCATAGCAGATACACACACACACGAACACTAACGCAATTTTTGCAACAGATACAGAAAATATTTTTGCAATCGATAAAACAAAGGAATATTACATACGATTTTATTGCACAATATGAATGGATTTTGAATTATTTTTTGACGTATTCACATTTTTCAATTAGTTCACAAACTTTTTATTATATTCACACATTTTCTTTTTGATTTTTCTAATAATTTGGCAACAAAAATTAACCGATCACCGGACGGACGTCTACACTTGTTGAACGCGACGAGAGAACTAAATGAGTGGGCACTTGTGAAACTTACTCTTACCGAGACATAACGAAGGAAGTTTAGACGAAGTTATTGGAATGGATATTGTCTCTGAGAGTATATCCAGGGGAAGTGTAAGGAATAAGAAGTAAGTTTTGTTAACCTTACGCGCATACATACACAATATTGTTGAAAGAAGGCAAACATACACACCTGGTTTAAGACAGCAGATTCCATATGTGCTAAAAGAGAATAAATATTTTAAGAGAAAATTCCTATTTTTTTTTTTATTTTTCTATGAATCGATTGACTCTATCAAATGCAAAATGGCGCATAATTAAGGAACTTTAATTTGATGGTGTTTAGATGTGTGAAAGAGATTTTTATACAAATTGTGTATTTTGCACACAATATTTTTTAGGACTTTTTTTTATGATCGGAACTTTTGTTACTTTTTCTGAATATTATTTTTTGTTCAGAAAATATGCGTTGTGTTCTGATTGGCCACCACACATTGAAAATGCGACGAAATAATTAATAATATATAATTATTGAAAGTTCCTTTGCGTATTAGTCCTCTGAAAAAAAGGGAGTAGACGGAAATTTGTGTGGGTGCTATTATAGAACATTAACCTCTATTGAATAGTTTAAGAACAGAAGTAGCTTATTCACTAGGAATCCGATAGCTGATTTGAAAGAGGAGCATTGCATTTAAAGTGCAGTAGGGGATATTTCTAATCAATGAGACCCCATACCCCATTGTATACCACACAAAAAGTAATATTGATCATTTTTAGTAGGAATATTTCCTATCTAATGAGAACCTGAAAATCATATTAATACGATTTTCTTTGAAAAACGTGTCCAAAATACCAGATAATTTGTATGTAGAATGTAGCGTTATATTTGCGCTACGCTTAAAAGCAGAGCTCCGATTTGCTTGATTTTACTCGCTAGTGAAAAATATTCCCGAGTGAAAAGGAGTATACTCGCAATTCTTGTATTTTGTTTGGGAGTGCTCGCGACTCCTCTTTGTCTCTGTTGAAAATGTGCCCAAAAATTGAAAATAGCAAATATTCAAGGTACCGTTATGTGGCCAACCGCAAGTGGACAAATGATACCCTTTGAAAATTCAAAATACCAAATTTCAGCCAATTAACTTGAAAAACTTACCGAAAAAAACTCTAAATGTGTATTCAAAGTCCCAAATTACAATTCGAGAGAAAAAATCTCAAAACCTCCAAAATACCGGATAATGGGTGCTATATCAAAAAGAATGCCGATGTTAAAAGTATTTTGTAGGAAAATTTGCTATCAAATGTGCATTCAAAGCACCAAATTACAGTCAATTCGAGAGAAAAACCAGCTAAAAACCTCCAAAATTCCGAATAATGGGGGTTACCGCTCTATGGGAGGTACCCCGAAACATTACTTAATACTGATTATTTTTAGTAGGGACATTTTCTACTCAATAATAATCCAAAATATCAAGTTTGAGCTAATTTGGTTGGAAATCGTGCCAAATTCCCCAAAACTTCCGTTATATCAGGGCTATCCTAAAAAGTAGATTTACTAATGATTTACAATGAGAACTCAGAATACCAAATTTCAGCCAATTCGCGCCACAAATCCTCAAAATACCGAATATTGGGTGGTACCGTTATATGGGGACTACTCTAAGAATTAGACCTATATATCCCTCTTCCAATACCAACCATTCCAGGAATAGTTGTAATGCATATGCAAAATTTCAAAGCTCCGCCTTAAATATTGCGAACTCCATCGTGACTAAATCGACATAAATATTATTTCGATCAACAATATATATAAAGTATAGTCTCAGGTAAATATTTCAATATATATTCCACCTTGCCATTACCTACATTATTTAAAAATAAAAAATTATATTTATAATACTATATCTGAATAGTAACGATTATAATAAATAAAACGTTACTATGTTCCGGTCTCATTTTTTGTGTGTGAAATACTCAATTGGTATAAAATCTCTCCCACACATATAAACCTTGATCCAACGTTGTCAATTTCCCCTTTTATGTTGTGTTTTTTTTCTCTTTAAATTGTTATTCTCTTTAAGCCCATATGAAACATAAAGGCTCTTTCCAACGATCTTATGTATGCGCATATGGTTAATAAACCAACTTCATATTCCTTCGCTTTCCATTGACATTACTCTCAGAGACAATTCCCATTCCAATAACTTCGTCTAAACTTCCTTCGTTAAGCCTCTCATATTCCCAAGAAATGGTAAGAGTAAGTTCTAGAACTGCCCAATCATTTAGTTCTCTCGTCGCGTTCAACAGGTGTAGACGTCCGTCCGGTGAGCGGTTAATTTTTGTTGCCAAATTATTAGAAAAAATAAAAAATGTGGAAATATAATAAAAAGTGTGTGAAATAATTAAAAAAAGTGAATACGTCAAAAAATAATGTAAAATCCATTCATATTGTGCAATAAAATCGTCTGCAATATTCCTTTGATTTGTCAATTGCCAACAAAATATTTTCTGTATCTGTTGCAAAAATGGCGTTGTGTTTGTGTGTATGTATTTGCTATGCTTTGTTCGTTTTGTTTGTTCGATGATCGTGTGTGTACGCGTTTGGCAACAAAAAGCTTTTTAATAGAAGAAAAATATATGTTCCCATTGCAACAACGTTTCTGTGTCGGTATTAAAAGAGAGTAAAAGCTCCACTTCCTCTCCGTTTATTTTCCGTTTCCCAGTTAATGTGTGTTGGTTATTATTGTTGTTGGTTTTGATGGGCCTTCAATTGAGCTCTACTACAAAAGCCTGTTTAGATAAATTTGTGTGTTTTCTTTTTAAAAGCTTTCATAATTAGTGCGGGTTTTAACCAGAAAAAGTGGTTTCATCTTCGATGTCGTAGATAAAGCAAAAAATAATTTAGTCCGAAAAAAATGCATTCGAAATTCAGTCGCTGAAAAAAGTGTTTCAGTGGAAAAGAAAAAAAAAAATAAATATGAAAAATAAAATTAATTTAAAATATAAAATTTAATTGTAATAAATTAAAAAAATAAAAAAGTGTGAAAATGGCAAAAATAAATTCAAATATATTCATTGGCTTTAAAAGTGTTTTAGGTGGGAAAGATAAAAAATATAAGAAATAAAAAATATAATAAAAAAAAGAAATAAAAATAAATATAAAAAAATAAATAAAATAAAAAAATAATAAAAAAATATAAAAATATAATAAAAAAATATAAAAAATAAATAAGAAAAAAAGTAAATATAAAAAAATAATAAAATAAAATTTTTAATTTAAAATAAATATGGAAATTTAATAAAAATAAATAAAAAGTGTGAAAATATAAAAAGTCAAATATATATCCAGTTTTAACCCAATAAATGAATTTATAGCAGCGCAAGAGAAGTTTAAAAGGTATGTGGTTTAGTTCGATTCTATTAGTCCCCACTCTGTTTTTGGTTATTACTGTTTAAAAAATATAATAATGGCCTGGGTAACTACAATGAACTTGGCAGAATTAATTTACACAGATCACATAATAAATTCTGAAACTGGAAAGGAGGATTTAAACCATAGGGGACCTGTGAAAGGTTTTTATACCCTCCAACATAAGGTGGAGTGTATATTACATTAGTCATTTCATTCTCAAAACCTCGATAAATTCACCGGACACCCCGCAATATACATATTACGGATCAGAATAAAATTCTATGTCGATTTACGCATGTCCGTCTTTCTTTATAGGATTGTAAGGACTTCAGCCTTTATAAGAACTTCGGTTTTGTTCCAAAACCTGCAATAATCTACTATTCTCAAATTTTTACAGTTTTTTTAATTTTAAAGTTTAGTATGCTTTGCTATTTGTAAAAAAATATCCGGGACACAAATTAAATTATTTCTTTCGTAAACTTCTAAATACTAAAAAATTAAAAAAAAAAATAAATTAAATACTTTCGATAAAAATCCAAATTTAAACCCGCCTTCTCCACAATGCCCAGCAGTAAGAAACCAGCAGATAACAAACCCCCCGCAACACCCTCCTCTGAATCTCTTTGTACGAAACAATACAAAAGTAATACCAGTTCCTACGTTTGGTATCCCTCTGTGAATAATGTTCAGCAGATTGAATATGTACGCAAACTCGAATGTGATTATGAACAATTACAATCCTCCTTTTTAAGTTTAACTACACAATTTGCCCGGCTACAATTTCGTTTGCGTCAGCTAATGCAGGCTCAGCCAATGGAACGTGAAAAATTGCTGCGGGATTTGGAGAGAATTGCCTTTGAAGAAGTCGATCCGTATGGTCAGTGTAAACCTGAGGAATTGCCACGCATCGAGAGGGATAATCAAAAAATGGGTAATATCGAAATGAAACAATCATCGATGATATGTCGCCTAAGGGGGCTAATAGCAGATTTGGAAGAGGAAAGTGATTGTCTTGTGACGGAATATCGTAATGATCCGGCATGGGAATTGGAACAAAAGGAAAAATGTCAACGCAAAGAGGTAGAGATGCAGGCGTCTCAGTCATTGACGCACACCAAGTCAAAGGAATCGATAAAGGGGAAATAGAACGATAGCCAATATTCCTGTAAGGGAGACATAAGGGGAGATAAAATAAGTTAAATTACCTTTGATGCAACTTGCGTAGCCAATCTGGCTCATCTGCAACCTCATGCAACGGGGTCTACTTAAGGCGAATTCAAAAGGTATTTTGTATAAAAATTGAAATAAAAATTTTTACACTATACAAAATTTACAAAAGTTAATCTGAAAATAAGTAAAAATTATGTTAGGTTCGGCCTAATCGAATTTTTTATACCCTCCAACATGAGGATGGCAATCAAAATATCTAAATTTAATAGGGGCTCCTAGGAGAAACCGCATGGTATGATAGGACCTACCGAAAAATACGTTAGCAAACGATTATTGTTGTTGTTATTATTCTTAAAATATCTAATAGAGGGGTTATAATAAAACGTAGACCAATATTAATATACAAAATAATAAATTATTGCCTATTCGGTTGACCCGACTTAGGTCAATATTAATAATTTGTAGTGGGGAGATGAGGTGATACCTTAACGAAAACTCAAAATACCAAATTACAGCCAATTCGGTTGGAAAACGTGGCTTTCGATAATTAGATTAATATTTTTATAAACATTTCTAGGGACATTCTCGTTGGTATTTTTTCCAATTCTTCAGAAGTTTTCAAAACCTCTACTAGAAATATGTATTATTATATTCTATTTACACTGCAATAATTTATTAAAAATTTACAATTTCCCCAAAACTCCCATTAACCCTACGGTCAATAACCGGGTACATTTGTACCTTTTTTTGAATAAAAATGCTGTAAAATTTTTAATACTGGAGATATTTGGATCAAATTTTGAGGAATCATTCTTGAGGTATTTTCACACATAATCGAAGAAAAAAATTATAAATATTTTCAATATATATAATTTTTACAATTTTTTAAAGTTATTACCTACGTTCAATAACCGTGGGATCCAAAGATAGATCTGTAACTCATTAAAAAATGGGACTATCGTGAGGTTTTTTGTTTTAAATTAGTATATACGGAACTGATGTAGATGTAGGAACTCAAAATTAAATATACATAAAAATAATATATATTTAAATCCATGCATAAATGATAATCTACCTAAAACAATCATAGTAAATAAGTTATAGCATTCGAATGGGTTAAGCTTTTTTAGTTATTTTTTTAATGGGGTCTTATTCAGGTGTTCCTCAACCCCTCTGCAAATTTTTGTGGCCCTAGACAACATGGGGCCATCAGGGCGACTCGTGGAAGTCAGAAACTACCCTGGTTTTCCCTTGGTATACAGGGACAAAAACAATATTGTCCGTAATTATCCAATTATTCTTCATATTGGGCCTGAAACTTTTTCTATAATCGAATTAGTCTGATTTATTACAATCCTAAATTGACGTAGATATATAAACTATCATTAAATAACGTTTAAAGTATTAAAAAGTGTTAAAAATGCGCCAATCACAATCTTTAAACTCATAAAATGTGAATAATTGGCAATAATAATTGTTTTAGTCCCTGTATTAGTTTCTGGCTTCCACAAGTCGCCCTGATGGCCCCATGTTGTCTAGGGCCACAAAAATTTGCAGAGGGGTTAAGGAACACCTAAATAAGATCCCAATAAAAAAATAACTAAGAAAGCTTAACCCATTCGAAAGCTATAACGAATTTACTATGATTGTTTTAGATAGATTATCATTTAAGCATGGATTTAAATATATTATTTTAATGTATATATAATTTAGAGTTCCTATATCTAGACCAGATCCGCATAGACTAATTTAAAACAAAAAACCTCACGATAGTCCAATTTTTTAATGAGTTACAGAGCTATCTTTGGATGGGTACAAATGTACCACGGTTATTGATCTACGTATACTTTTTTGGTTATTGACCGTAGGGTTAAATCCGCTCTCTTCCCTTAGCTAACCTTCCCATCAATTGCAATCATTCACAATAACAAATCGCCACTTATAAGAATCCCAATAAGAAATTATATTATTTGTTTGTTTTGCTTTCTTCATTCGCATTGTTATTGTTTTCTTCGTACACCACCACCGCCACTACCATGTTGATGTGTGTGTTTGGGTTGGCGCGCGCTCACATTGACAACAATAAAAACACAGCAAGCACCACCGGCCGGCATTAATTATGTTAAGGTAGGTTCGTTCGTTCATTCGCTCCTTCGTTGTTGGGGTTTGTGTGTTTGTTCGTTCGCTTGCTCGTGTTTTGTTCTATTTTGTATACAAAACAAAAACAAATCGTTTAAAGAAGAAATTCTTCTTGGACTTCGTATTGTTGTTCTCAATATTCTCTCTCCCATTTAAGATGCATAATTGGAATTTTTTTCTCTCTCTCTCTCTTTGTTTTCTCTCAGAGTAGAATTTCTTTGCTCTGTTATTTCTGGGTTACTTTCTATTTTGAAAGGCTGAAGTAATCTTTAAAAATCTGACATCATGGGATAAAGTGTCAAATTTTACATGAATCCTGTATTGTTGTTGTTATTTTTGTGTGCTCTTCGGTTATCAACAAAAGTAGAGCACACGCAACAGAAGTCAGGCCTCTCAGTGTTGCCGTTTTTAGCCGATTGTACTGGAATGTACCTCGACCAGAGTAGTGTTGAATTGGAATCAATTGGGATATGCTGTTATGCTTCCAATAGCATTGAGGTAGGGTCTCTGATTGGAAACAGAGAGATAGTGAAACGGAATGAGATGTGAAATAGTTAGAATTAAACAGTAATAAATTCTCACATGTAAATAAAATGCCCACATGGGAAAATGAGTAGTAGGTCAGGTATTTCAAATGTTTTGTGTGGCAGTTAATGTGATCAAAGGAATGTGGGATATATTTTGGGGGGCAATTTATTGGGAATTTAAAGGGGATTTTATGGATGTGCAAATGGACTAATTGCAACAGGACAATATATGGTGTTTCAGACCTAAATCCATATAATTTTTAACACAGATTTTACCATGAAATTGTTCTACCCGTTATACCAAATTAAACCCGCTTCAGTTGTAAAATAGAGACCCTAAAATAATAAAAAAATATATGCCAAATTTCGTCTCTTTGAAAATATCAAAGTGACTTACGCTTATATATATGGAGCCTGGATCTATGTCAATGTTTTCTATTATAAGGCGTATTGCTTTCTAAAAAGTCGTGATCCTGAGCAAAAAACACTTGGGTAAGGACATGCGATTAGGCCCTGAAAAAAAAAATAAATAAAAAACAAGTAAAAACGATATTAAGTTTGGCCCGGTCGAACTTTATTTAACCCTCCACCATGAGGATGACAATCAAAATATCTAACATTAATGGGGGCTCCTAGGAGAAAACTCATATTATGATAGGACCTAGAATATACCGAAAATGCGTGAGGAAAATATGATTGGGGCTATAGTATGAAGGAGATCAATATTGATATTTTTGGTTAGTGGGATAACCAATGATAATACAATAACCAAATTTCCGCCAATTAGGTTGAAAAACGTGTCCAGAATTCTCAAAACACTGACTTGATCAATATTAATAATTGTTTGTACGTTTATGTGTTATTCAATGAGAACCCAATATACAAAACTACAGCCAATTCGATAGGAAACCCCGTACAAAAATCCCCACAATAACGAGTATTGTGGGGTACCGTTATATGGGGGATACCCTAAAACTTGGGTTAATATTAATAATTTTTAGAGTGAAAATGTATCATACAATTATAACCTAAAATACTAAATTACAGCCAATTCCGTAGGAAAACCTGCAAAAAATCCTCAAAATAATGAGTATTGGGGAATACCTTATATGGGGGCTACCCTGAAACTTGTGTTAATATTAATAATTTTTTTGTACGGGAGAATGAGAACCCAAATTACAGCCAATTCGGATGGAAACCCTGTACAAAATCCTCAAAATACCGAATATTGGGAGGTACGGTTATATGAGGGCTACCGAGAAACTTGGGACAATATTTATAATTTTTGGTACGACAATATTTATAATTTTTGGTACAAACTACAGCCAATTCGGTTCAAAATCGTGTCCAACGTGTCTAGAACTATCAGAGCCACAAGTGTGGATTTTTTAAAATGTTTTCTTCTAGAATCATCAGAGCCCGGAGAACAATTCTTTAAATAACAATTCTTCTAGGATTATCAGAGCCACAATTTTTAGGAATATTTTTTTTTTCTAGAACTATATAATCTAAAATTTTTATTTTTTAAAGGTCCAATGCTGGTGGAATCATTGGACCTTTCTAAAACAAGTAAGGAAAGCAGTAAAGCCGACTATATGATACCCTTCACCACTTTGGGTATATTCATCAGATGTGTTGTGCAAAATGTTGTGCCAATCGGCTATGTTTTGGTTCTTTGATGCACTATTTACTGAAAATCGGACGAAACTTTATATGGGAGCTATATCTAAACCTGAACCGATTTCAACAAAACTTTGCACACATTATATTATAACTTCGATTCGTTGTACAAAATTTTTATGAATCGACCATATTTTGAGGCTTTGGTGCACCATTTACTGAAAAATATGGGAGCTATATGTAAATCTGAAGCGATTTTTCTAAATTTCAATAGGGTTATGTATCAGAGAGTTTTAGACAATATTTGTTCTAAGACTATCAGAGCCAGAAACGTGAAATAAAAAATTGTATAGACGTATCAGAGCCACAGGGGGCGGGTGTAAACAATAATATTTTTTTTTGGATTATCGTAGCCACAAACGAATATATCAAAAGAATATTTTTCTAGGACCATAAGACCCAAAAGCATGAGTTTTGAAGGATTTTTTTCTTTAAATAATATTCAGTCAATAAATCGACGCCTCCGAAGAATAGTATGCTAAGTCTGTAAAGTGAGTTTTTCAGCAGAAGCTCTCAAAGTATGGAAGTTTCTTAAATTTTACGTGCCATGCTAAGTACCTTTTTGCTTATAACTTTGGTTTGGATTGGCCGATGATTACCAAAATTTCAGAGAATTTAAATTAAGCACCG